ACAAATGCAAAAATGTTGTCGTAAAATAAGAGAGGTGGAAAGTCTTATGGTTTAAGAAAAAGCAGTCTTAACATGTTAGCAGATCATTAGTATGTTTGAAATGTTGGGATGAGTAAGGGAACAGAGGGCTGTTATCTGTCCTTGTGTTGACCATTTCTACTTACCTAAATCTCCCACAGGTCTGAAAGAAGGAATATTCACCTGCTAATTGGTACAGTCCTTCTGACACTCAAACAGAACTATGGTGCTGCTTTCTGTGAGTGTAGCTTTGTGCTGGAAGAAGTGCTTATCAGTGAAAAGTTAGGCAACCATGCTTGCTTGTGCTGCCTGCCTCTTCACCTTTGCCTGTGAGGCCTCACAGTGAACTGGCGGAGTCAGCTCACTTGGTGAAGTAACTGTCTCTCAGACAGTTGTGCTCTGAAAATGGAAGCAGTAGTGATGGCATAGGGGCAGTGTAAGCTGCTGAAAGAATTGCTTGTCAAGTGTGTACAAACTGCAGGCACAGAAGGATGTCAAGGTAGCTTTGTGGGCAGGATTTAGCTGCTCTGACTGCTTCTGCGCTGGACTTAAACAGTGAATAAGAAGTAGCCAACTGAAAACTTGTATACAGAGAGAGACGAGGGGTATGGTAGGACTCTCTCGCCTCTGTAGAAAGATTCAGTAAGAATTTTGTAGCACACTACCTAGGCCACACAAACTTGTTGTGTGGACTTTCTCAGCACTCAAGGCCTTGCCAACCTTTTTACCAGAGCAGTCTGTAGTAGATCTTTTTCGCCACATTAAATGCTTCATGTTACAAAATATTTCAAAAATATCTCTCTCAGCTCTATCTGGGAAAGAAGGAGATTGAACAAATGGGCTTCACTACCTTGAATTCTGTCATTTCTTTGTGGATTCTGTATGAATAGTGGTGGGAAGACACTGATGAAGTAAATGTCATCTCCTTTACTAATCCAGAATATCCTCAACATATGCACACTGTACTTCAACTTTCAGGAGAACTGTCATAGTGTCAATTTATCTTTGCATTCTTCTAGAACATTTTTGCAATGGGTTTGTTTTTGCTTTCAATCAATGACTGAGAAGGCTTATCAGTTATACTGCTGCAGAAATGACGAGATGCTGAAAAGCATCTTTATAGTGTTCTTGTACTTCAGAAATAGCTTGGTCATCCACCTGCAAAATCAGTGGAGTTCCTAGCAGTTCTCGTATACCACATCCTTCCAGGGGTCATGTTATAATAAATAAATATACTGTAACTATATGAGCAGGTACGTAACTTAGTATTGGTATCAGAAGTTATAAATTGGGATAGTGTTCAGTGGAGCATTCAAATAGTAACAAAAAGTATAATCAAAATCTTGTGGTTATAAGAAACTAAGTTTTTTAAAAAGGGCTCTAGACTTAGCATGACTGTAGCAGGCCAATTATTATATGATGTCTTTATTTAATGTTTTATTGCATTTTTTTAGTATAAACACAGTTAAAAGTACATTCATTTAATCCTACTTGTATCAAGTTGAAGATAAGAAGACAGTTATACGTTTGTAATGATGATGGTTCCCTGTATTGTAAGAAGCTCAAAGCCTTGCTAGTCTTTTATGAGACCAAGTAAAAGAGTTAACTAGGTGATGAGCTTGGGGTTTAAAAGAGCTTTCATTGCGTTTTGGCTGCTATATTACTAGGTTAATGGTCGTCAGCAGAAAAGCAAAATCTAGGGAGCTATCTTAGGAGATGGTGATTAAGTGATCTATCAGTGTAGGTACAGGCACGTGTAATGGCTGAAGGTTGTAATTTTGTAGTATCATTTTTCCCCTGTTGAAGCTGGTTTAGTCCCCCATCCCAGAGCAGTTCATTTTGTGCTGGAGTGAGCTATGGCTTCAGTTGTATGGATACAGGGCAGTTCTGCAGAGAGTGGTAATACAGATGGCTGCAGCCATCTGAGTTGTGTTTCTCTGTGCATGTATCTTTTTAACCTGGGATTGCTTCATTGGTTTACAGCACAATCCCACAAGCAATATTATTACTGGATGAAACTGTAGTGACAGGGTGGCCTAGAAAGCATGAATACTTCCTCAGAAGGTTACATACATTTTCTTTTGGAATGTGCTAGAACTTGTTCTGAGAAAGCTGAATTATCTTTCAGATTATGGTTGATGTATAGACTCTCTGTATTATCTCTGATAGTTAGTTCTGGTCTTTGCGATTTGCTTTTAAGATCTATCTGCTCATCATGGTGTTCTGTTGTAAATCCTCACAGTTAGTTAATATTTTCTGTGGTATCCTCTAAGAATTTTGCCTGGAAATCAGTATCACATTTATCAGTTGCATTTTCATGTGCCAAACGTAGAAAGTATCTAATGCTGTAAGTTATTGATGCAGGCAATAGAATTTAAGTTGAAAACAAATAATTTTTGTTGTAAACTATGAATTCCGTGAAATATGTATGGCTAACAGTTCATAATTTACAGATTGTTCTCATTTGTAGACTAATATGTAGACAACTTATACTAATTTGTGAAAATCTTGCCATTACACATTTTCCTAACTTCTGCAAAAACGGTAAGTGTGTAGCTTATCAAAACAGTAGATTCTGGTTTCTGCACTAAGATGCTTATTTGAATCCTGAGTTGAATCAACTAAGACACTTTCAAAAACAGAAGTTGGAAAATTTTTTTTTTCTGAAGTCTGTTGTGGGTTTTTTATATCAGTGCATATAAAATTAAATATGAAATTGTGAGAATACATGTTAAGTCCTTGACAATAACTTATCTGTCAAAATAATAACAGATGTATTTGGGGCCAGGGTTTATAATGAAACCACAAAAGAGCTACAGGTTGCTCAAAAAAGGCACCTGCTGCCAGAGGCGGACATGCTAAAACAACAAGTTTTTTCACAGCCTTCTTGAAAAATGCAGAGATTTCTTCTGTTGAATAAACATTAAATTAAAAAGCAAGCTAAAAGCCCCCACAACTGGAGTTACAGCAGTAGTGTTTTGTTTTGGTTTTTTTTTTTTTTAGCCCTCCTGTAAATCAAAAGAAGGGCTGGCTTAATAAAAGACCATCCTTAATAATTTCTACCACTTACTACCTGCACATATTGCTGTTTTTGTTTAATTAGCAGGATACACATTTTACAATGAAAATATGGTGTTCAATACCTGGATGCTGGCATACTCAATGTACTTCTGATATCCAAAATCAGTATTAATTTTTAGTTATTAATTGCATTCCAGTGTCCATCCACATAGAATGTGATATGTATCAGACATCTAGTAACCATTTCATTGACAAACTTTAGTGAGATTAATTTAAAACATAACCATCCAAAAAAGCGTAACTTGGGCTGTGTATGGTGTACTCTACTGCTCAGCTGAATAGGCTGCTCTTTACATTAGCCTATATTTTTATTGCAAATGGATTTAATTGGTGGCAACTGAAAACAATTAGAATTGGAATTTCTTTAAAATGCGGGGGGGTTTTTATTTCTTTTAATGTCAAAATGATTTTGCAGAGTGTTTGTCACAATTAGATGTTGCATTTAAATATACTGTTAAGATGCAGTTTCATGGTTAACCATAATAAGTCTGTAGTGCTGCCAGAGGGGAATGAATACAGTCATGTTGTCCTCCGTCCCACACTAACACCTGTGCTCCTTCATGAGCACCTCAATTTGGCTGAAAAGGTTTTCAACATCCTAACCTGGTCACCGCCTTCTGTTGTGAATGACCTTCCCAACACTGGGGGAGCAGCAGGAACACATGGTTAGTTGCAGGGATGAAAAGAACCAAATTGCTCCTTTGAGCACAGACAGTCTATAAACCAGTCCTCTACGAGCACCCCTCCCTCAGCCAATACAAGCCAGCATGATGGCTTACTGCTGCCAAAAGGATGCTTTCTTAGTCCCGTCTCCTCTTCAAGTATTCCTACCCCTTTCTTCGCACTGGATCCTGGCACTTTTCAACCCCTCTTTCATCTGATAAAAACTAACCTAACTCAGCATATAGTGCTGGCAGGTTGGAGAATTGAGTTGTCTCATGGAAAATCTCTTAGGCACCAGAACTGATGAAGATAAACAGCTCATGACTGTGAGCAGATGGGAATACTGGGGCGAGGGCAATGGGAACCTCCCTTCCACCTAAGTGGTGAGGACCTGCTTGGATCGCCTTATTCCATCTTGTAGAACCACTCCCTTAGTCTCAGCTTTTTCATGGAAGTTGTGTGCTTTTATGGAAGAGTGTGGTGAAAGTGTCGGGAACCTTAACTGCTTTTCAGAGGTGTTGTGGTACCTTGTTTCTTGTTGGAATTTTGAAGCTGGTGCTTGGCTGGCATACTAGAGCAGTCTTAAAGGGTAAATGAACTTAACTGGCAGCAACGTGCTGATTTTTGAATGAAGAACCTGTAGTGCTCAAACCCTTCTCTGTTAGTAGTTAGAGCCTCAAATTGTCGGTATTCTTAAAGCATACAATTTGATTTTCAGTATTTTTTTTTCTAAATACATATGATCCACCATCAAATTAATACGACAAAGATTAGGTTTAAAAGAAAGTGCCATAGGTATATTTAAATGTGTCTTGAATTAGTTTTGCTCAATGTCCACTGTGTCCATTCACAAATGCTGACCTTATCTGTGTGGCTGTGTGTTTACTCATATCTGGAAGCAATGGTGTATTGCAGACCCAGAGCTTGCAGCCATCTCATTTCTTTTCATAAGCATTTGTTATTCTTGATCTTTTTAAATGTAAACTTTAGTAGGATAAATAATAAAAGAAGTAAGAAGTGTAACACAGCTGAACTTGCTAGCATCTTGAGACAGAAGGAAAAGTTGTGTGGTTGGCATTTTTTTTTCCTGAAAAATAAGTTCACAGCAATAGTGGATAATGTGTATAGAAAGGGGGTGTTCTTGGGAAGAATAAATTACAGGAGTTGCACTTTTATATCAAGTTCTTTCTCTGTAACAGCTTTTACTAGTAATATTGTCTTTTATTTTTTAGCGTGGACCTGACAAGCTTCTTTGTACTGGTGTCAGTAACAAGGCTTTTTACCATGGACAATTCTGCTCCAGCTGCAGGTATATATAAAAAAAGATATTTTTTTTTTATCACAGTTCTTCAATAGTGCGTGTTTTCTCTGTAAATGTATTTTTTTTTTGTATTTTTTTTAAACTGATCAGCTGAAAGGGGGGGGGGCGGGGGGAAATTATTTTCTATAATCATGATCAAGCAGGTAGCCTTCTGTACAGATTCTCGAAGTGCCTACTCAATCTTCCTCTAGTTGTGCATTTGAAAGGAATTTTTGAAGTATTTCAAGGCTGTCAGGATTACAAAGACAGAAGATGAATATCCTATATCAGTGTCAGTTTGGTGGAACATAGGGCATGATCTGTGGATTCGTGATAAACAGTTAAGCTGATTCCTTGGGTGTTCTTGTTCCTGCTTTCTACCCTGCGTCCAGAACTTCCTGAGCAGCAGTACAGTCAGTCCTGTGATTTGTTTCCAGATGTTTTCCTGCCAGTTCTTGTCTGCAGACAGTCTCTACGGGTTGAGATGGATGGTAGTGTTTTTGCAAGGGAAGCAGTAGGAAAAATGATTTTTTTTTTTTCCTCAATCAGATGTTTTCTTGATGTGGTACAGATCTGCACAGATTGTTCTTCACCAGAGTGATTTTTTTGGGAGGTGGTGGGAAATAGGATAGACAGGTGCAGGGTAAGGAAACTGGGTCTATTTAAGCAATGTGATGACTCAGTGTGAAACCACAGCTACATGTTTCTTCAAACATGTTAAACTAGTACTACCATCCAAAGAAATTTATGCTCTGCTCCACTCCATGTGTTGAGAAAGATGCAGTAAGTGTATTTGGTTACCTGTGGTTTTAGATCAGACAAAAAGTTGAAAGTGAGAGAAAGCTGGGACTGCCTCCTTTAGATGTACTTTCAGCTTAGGTGGGCTTGAAATATTAATGGCCCATGGCTGTATAAGTTAACTTTAAGTAAAGTAAATTAACTAACTCATGACATAAACAGTTGCCTGTCAGCAGTGGTTTCCAAATAGTTGATTTTACAATGGGGCAAGGGACACAGCATATGACCTCTTGATAAGCATCTAAGCCCTACTTGCTATTTCCAATAGGGAAGAAGGGGAAGGAAGAGTCTGAGGAGCTAACTTGAAGATTTTTCTTTTTGATGTCTTTGACTTGCACATGTCAGATTGTTCATACTTCTGCTAATCGATTCAGTGTGACGTCCAGAGGCTTCTGCTTGGCTTGAAACAGCGTTAACTTATAACTCAGCAATTTAATAGCTGAAATATATTTCAGGCCTGTGTAGATGATATTTTTGTGAGAAGAAACCAGCTGGCAAGGAATATAAATTTGTATTGAGTTCAAGTGGCTTTTATTAATTACCAGTGCAGCCACTGATCCTTCATAGTGACATCCAGGGTGTCTAAATGATATTAAACTTTAAAATGAGATAGATGTGTTTGTCTCCTAATAAATCCCAAACCCCTCTTAATTCTCATTGATAGCTCTGTACTTCATTTTGGATTTATATAACCTCTACTGAGGTGCATCTCTTTACCTAATACAACTGCTTCACCTGCAGCATTTTTTTGGTCTGGTGGGTTACATATCTAAAATATGTTTTGCGATTCTTGATCTGAGGCTAGTCACTTGGGAAATATATTTGCACCAGTCATGAATCATGATTGTAGTGAACTTCTCTTTTTAGCACCAGGCCCCAGATTTCACTTTGTTCATAAGGCTTCTTGTATCTTTGTCTGAAAGCATTTTTTGCTTTCACCTCATTGAGTGTAAAATTCAGAAGAGATGTTGAGCATGCTTTAAAGAATTGTTGAATCAATTCTGAAATTTGGATGCCAGAAAAAACACATGATTATCGCTCTGCATCAAACAACAGCTGGAGAAAGAAGGCATGGTTCAAAAAATGCTGATGTCTTTATGCTTGGGATGGAATGAGTGCTAGCTTTTATTGCTGATTTAGTGACTTAGCTAAAGTTCCACAAAACTTAATATAATTACAACAGGAAAAGAAGCACTTTAATAGCATTGTTCGGTCAGGTGTTGGTCACTGTTCAGAAGCCAGATCAACTAGAGCTAACATGCTTGCTAATGGGTAGATAGTGAAATAGAGGAAGCACACTGTATGTACACAGGGTGAAACTGTTCTGGTAAGCACTGTCCTTTTTGGCTGAATGCCTGACCTGAAAACCCCTGTAACAGTCAGTGAAGATGCAGAGAGAAAATCCTGTGCTTGCCACTTAGCTCCATCTTGTTACCTCTGATAATGAGTCAGAATCCAGAAAATTTACTTATGCAAGCATGAGTTTCTCATCTTAAACTAAAGGCAAAATTACTGTTAGGTTTCATTTCCTGATTTCTTTAGTCAACCAGTCCTTGATTTAGTAAAGTCAAGGATATCTTGTCCATTTTGAACCTGAAAAGTAGATTTAACAAAATAGGATGGGTTCTTAGCCTTTAATAGTAACGTATCCTGTTGTGGTTTGGTACTGATATACATTTAATATGTTTCTGTTTGTCTTAGTCTCATCCCCAACAAGTGTGTCACATATTCACATTTTTCAGAATGCACACAGAGCACATGATGCCATTTAAAATTTCTTGATGGAAAAATCAATGCATAACAGACTTTTCTGTTTTGCAGGTGGGGGAATTAGTTAACTTGGCTTATGAGTGTGCCATGGTTGGGGCTTAGATCATCTAACTTGGGAGTTTTACAGACTTCCACTAGTAAAAAAAACCCTCTATAAAGATACTTATACAGAGTGACTTGTCTGAACCACTTCTCAGCCTTAGACTGTACTCAAAACATACAGCAAAATCTGAAGTTACTTACTAAGCCCATACAGATTTTTTTTTCCTAATCTTTTGTGATTCTCCTTGGAAGGCTAAATGCAACACAGGAGATGTTAAGGCTCTCTCTCTTGCTGGAATAAAACTGTTTGTGGCACATAAGTAAAAAAAGAATGCTGTTTCTTCCTTTAACTTAAGTGGTATGCAGTTAGACTTAATACAATTTCCATCAAATATGCTGTCTTTCCTCTCAGTTTAGGATATTTTTTTCGCCAAATCTCATCAGCATCTGTAGGTTGCTTTAGGAGAATCTCTGGCTGGGATCTGTAGTTTGGCTAATGAATTTAATTTTTACTACTTCACAATATTATTCCATTGTGATAGCTTCTAGAACAATATGCCTGTTCCAGATGTGGTGTTCTGCTTAAAAATGCTCTCAAGGACTCAGTCATCTCCTTCAAATATAACCATCGATCACTTACCTTTTACAGGATCCAAAGAGGCATACGTTAAAAAAAAGGCAGTTTGCCAAAGTGGAAGACTTTAGAATCTGTATGGATTTCAAGCCTCACTGCTGTCTATCCTTTTCAAAGACTTTTTAAAACTTGCAACCATGTGGGGCAGCAGGCTTTCTTTACTAAAATAAAAAAAATTATTTGAGGTAGCAACTGAATCTAATTAAGAAACATACCATGCAGGAAGATAAGTTAGTAATAAAAAAAAAAAGACTGTATTACCTCCTAATTACTACTTTCCCCTCTCTGTGTAATTAACATTTTGTAAATATGTTACATGGGTATTTGGGAAGTTGTTATTGGCCTCTCTATCTGCAAGACTTAAAAAAAAAAAAAAAAAAAAAAAAACAACAAAACAAAAAAACCCCCACAAAACCAAACCCAAAGCAAAACAAACACACCACACATTCCGCATGCAGTGGAGATTTGGAGCTGAAGGCGTCTTTTTAAACTGTCCTTTGGTTACATATGAACTATACTTTCTTAGATAAGAGCTAGAGATAAGTCAATGTCAGTGCTGAGATAGCAGTTTATCACTTCTAGGTTTTGGTATCTATACTGTGCAGTAAGTTTGTCTTGTTTGCTTGTCCATCCACCTCCCTAAAATATTTTAGATAATGGGAATGACAAGAAGAAATTTAAAGGAGACAAATCACCATGCTCCCCTTCACGTGTCCTTCATCTTCGTAAAATTCCAAGTGATGTTACTGAAGCAGAAGTCATTTCATTAGGCCTCCCTTTCGGCAAAGTAACCAACCTCTTGATCCTAAAAGGAAAAAGTCAGGTATGTCATTTTCAGTGTTTCAATTATAAGAGCAAGGCTGAAGATGTGGTTCATGTTATGACCCTGTTGCTATTGCATTTGGCTGAAATGATTGCAATGATTTTTAAATATGTCATTGTTTAGCTCAAGATTTTCATATTTTCAAATGTGAAATGTATATTAAAAAACTTTAAAAATATTTTGGATTAAATAATGATCTAGTAACTTCTTAATAACATTGCTAAACATTATATCCACCTTATGTAAGAATATATTGATGATAAAGAACTATATTGTCACTATTGATGTCGACATATGTCTTGAAATAACCTGCCTGATTAAATAATTAACATGCATGCTCATTTTCACGTGAAACAAATTGCTTAGGTTTTTTTTAATCCTTTTGGATGTGACAGGGTAGTTCACATCATGAATAAACACTGAAATCCTAAAAATAGTAGCCATTCATTAAAAAATTGTCTAGAGCACCAAGCTGGGTTAACATAATGCACAAACTGATAGATGTTTAGTGTCCTGTTCCTACTCTTTCAATCATTATGTGTATCTGCTACCTAGGTACTAGTGCTTGGATTCAGGAATCTAATAAATTCATTAGCAGTGTGGTATTTTTAGCAGCATTGTTTCCCATATGTCATACTTATTCCACCTCTTCTTTAATGACTTATTGTACTTACAATGTGCAACCTTTTAAGAAAACCCACAAATCAAATTAAATATCCCCATAAATGCGCACACACAAATGCATTTTAATGCTGAGCAAATCAGTACTGTACTTTCATATGATCTTTTTCTAGTGAGAGTGGAATTGATGCTTTGTTCTCTCCTGCAAACAAAACAACACTGAAAACTGCTATGTATTGGTTGCAGGCATTTTTGGAAATGGCTTCTGAAGAAGCTGCTGTTACTATGGTGAACTACTATACTCCTGCTACACCTCACCTCCGTAGTCAACCTGTTTATATTCAGTATTCTAATCACAGAGAACTTAAGACTGACAATCTACCTAATCAGGCTGTAAGTATAATATTTCTATTTAACAAGATAGAATTGCACATGAGTTGTGTACTGCTTTTGGCTAGGATAAGAGTTCATTTTCTTTATAGTAGCTTGTGACACTTACATAGCGTCAAGGCCTTTTCTGCTTCTCACACTGCCCTGCCTGTGTGAGTGCACAAGAAGTTGGGAGGGGACACAGCTGGGACAGCTGACCCCAACTGACCAAAGGGCTATTCCATACCATAGGACGTCATTCAGCACTAAAAAAGCTGGGGGAAGGTGGGACATTCAGAGTGATGGTGTTTTGTCTTCCCAAGTAACTATTACACGTGATGAAGCCCTGCTTTCCTGGAGATGGCTGAACACCTGCCTGCTGATGGGAAGTAGTAGAAGAATTCTTTATTTTGCCTTGCTTGCATGTGCAGCTTTTGCTTCACCTACTATACTGTCTGTATCTCAACCCATGAGTTTTCTCACTTTTACCCTTCTGATTCTCTCCCCATTCTGCTCCGGGGAAGCGACCGAGCAGCTGTGTGGCACTTAGCTGCCTACCAGGGTTAAACCACAACATTAGCAAATAAACAGACTATTCTCTGCTACACCAATAATCAAATTCTGATAGATATTATTTCTGCCTGTTGTTATCTAAGCAGTAACTTCTTTCAGACAGGGACTTCTCAATATCTGTAAAATTACTGTGGAGGAGCTCAAGCTCAAGAATGGTTCATCCTGACGAGCAGGAAATCAAGTGAAGGTGGCGGGAGGACTGCTTGGATGACCAAGGAGCTCCTGACTGAACTCAAACATAAAAAAGAGGCATAGAGCAGGTAGAATCACAGACAGGAATATAGAGCATTATCTGAACGTGCAGGGATGTGGTTAGGAAAGTCAAAGACAACATGGAGTTGGCTCTGGCGAGGGATGTGAACAGCAACAAGAATGGCTCCTCAAAGTGTATTAGCAGCAAAAGGAAGATTTAGGGAATATGTGGGCCTGCTGCTGAATGGGGCAGGGGCCCTCATGACAAAGGACATGGAAAAGGCTGAAGTACTGGATGCCTACTCCTCAGTCTTTAGTGGTTAAGACTTGCCCTTGGGAATACCAAGCAACTGAGAACAGTGGGAAAGTCCTGATGAAGGAAATAGAGAATAATCTCATTAGGGAAAATGTAACCAAACTGGATAAACAAAAGTCTGTGGCCCTAATGAGATGCACTTGTGAGTGCTGAGGGAGGTGGCTGATGACATTGCAAGGCTGCTCTTACCATCATGGAAAGGTCATGGCAATTGGAGGAGGTTCCTGAGGACGAGAAGAAAGCAAATCTCTCTCCTCTCTTAAAAAAGGACAAGAAGGAGGATCCAGGGAACCACTGGCTGATCAGCCTTACCTTGGTCCCTGGGAAGGTAATGGAGCAACTGATCCTGGAAACCATTTCCAAACATTCTAAGGACAAGGCGGCAGTTGGGAAAAGCCAGCATGGGTTTTTGAAAAGGAAGTAATGCCTGACCAATATGATAGCCTTGTATGGTGAGAAGACTGGTTTGGTGGATCAGAGGAGAGCAGTGGATGTTGTTTATCTTGACTTTGGTAAGACTTTCAACATTGTTTCCTATAACATCCCAATAGACACACTGATTAAATACAGTCTAGATAAGTAGACCGTGAAGTGATCTGAAAGGCTAAAATGGTTGTGACCAGTGGCATGAAGTCCAGCTGGGGGCCAGTCGCTAGTGGAGTACCCTAGGGGTTGATACTGTGTCCAACACTGTTTAATGTCTTCATTAATGTCCTGGAAGATGGGATGGGGAGCATCCTCGGCAAGTCTGCTGACAACATGGGGCTGGGAGTAGAGTCCCATGGGAAGCTGACACACCACATGGTTGTGCTGCCATTCAGAAGGACCTTGAAAATCTGGAGAAATGGACTGACGAGAGGAACCTCATTAAGTTCAACAAAAGGAAATGCCAACTCCTGCACCTGAGGAGGAGTAACCCTAGGGACCATTGTACACTAGAGCCAAGCAGCTGGAAAGCAGCTTGGCAGAGAAGGACCTGGGTGTCCTGGTGGATAACACACATGCCCTACGCCTCCTGGGATGCAGAAGGCAGAGTTGCTGGCAGATTGAGAGAGATGACCTTCCCCTCTACTCAGCATCGATGAGACACATCTGGAATGCTGTGTCCAGTCCTGGGCTCCTCAGTACAGGAGAGACATGGACATAGTGGAGCAAATCCAGGAAAAGGCCATGAAGAAGGTTAAGGAACTGGAGCATCTATCATAGAAGGAGAGCCAGAGAGAGCTGGGGCTGTTCAGCCTGAAGAAGAGAAGGCTTAGGGGTACCTTAGCAATGTCTGCAAATATGTGATGAGGGAGGAGTAAAGACGGTGGAGACAGACACTTTTCAGTGGTGCCCAGTGACAGGACAGTAGGCAATGGGCATAAGTTTAAATACTGAAAAATCCACTTAAACACCCATCTCTTTACTGTGAGAATGGTCAAACATTGGAATGGGTTTCTCTGAGAGGTTGTGGAGTCTCCATCCTCAGATACATTAAAAACCTGACTGGAAACAGTCCTAAGCACCCTGCTGTAGGTGACCCTGCTATTACATTCTACACTAGAAGTACTTGCTTACAATATGTTTTGAAATAACTTTTGCCATTCCTTAGTTTTAACGTTAGGTAACAGCTCTCAATAGCTTCAGAATATGAAGAAAATATCATGTTTTCTCTGAAAAATTAGTCCTGATTTTTTTCCCGCTGTTACTGTGTCCATAATACAGTAGCAGGAGTACCACAAAAACATACTACTTCAACTTTATATGTTTGTGTTTTCTTAAAGTTAATTGCTAATCATGGGTCTGTAGATGCTATATGAAGAACACATGGAAGAGCAAACCCAGCTGATGCATGATGAACCACTTTCTGCCCAAAAAGCAGCTCTTTTGAAGCTTTTTACTTTATTAGATACAGATGTTATTGTGAGGAGTCATGTAACCTGCTTTTGTAAGATTTGTGTTGTTGGCATGGTTCCAAGGACTTGCCAAACTGAGGAATAGCAAATCATCATCTTTAAGTTGTTCAAGTTTATTCTTAATAGTGTTGTCTTTTTTAATGTTGACTGTTTATTCTAAAAAGAAGCCTAGATCCAATAAAATGGATATTTTTCACTGATAAAACATCAGTTTTATGTGTAACTTCATGCCAAACACCAGAATTATTTTCTTCCTTGTATTTTTGAAGTACTAAAAATTGATTTCTTAAGAATATGAATTGAACATTGCAGATGACTGATTTAAATCCTAATCTCTAAACAAGGAAATACTCTTTGCACAACAAGATCAAAGTATGCAAACCATCATATTGGATTTTTGGATTCCTGGATGAATTGCAAATGACCTGCCATTTAGATACATAAATTATATAACACGATGTGTGTATCACGATTTTGTTTTCTATAAGAATGTTGCAAGTAGTGATTGGGGCAAAAATCAGTGCTCATTTATAATTTGTGCTGGCACAGAAGTCACTGAAATCCTGGAAGCTTGTCAATCTGATAGTGTTATTTGTGTCTTTCCTCATCCAAGATTGCTGGATTGGTTTGTTATCTGCAAAAACAAATAAATAAAATGTTTTTTTTAAGGTTGTGGTATATGTAACAACCTCAGGAAAACTATATTCATATTTGCAAATAAGACTCCTTGTATCCGTTTCTCAGAGTATTTTCAACTCGGTGTGTGACACTTGCTTTCTCCTTCTATAAAAACAACATTGTCTCCTTTAAAAGTACTTCTTTGCACTGTTACGTTTGAATTTTATTTAAATTTTAGAGACCCTAGCAGAGCAGCTGAACACTATGTTATCGACCTAGCATCTAGGCTCAGGCCTGAAGTACAGATTATTTTGCAGGGTTACATATTTCTGAAACTGGGTAGCATCTTTACTGTGTGCTATGTTTAGTCCATCTTCTGAGGAAATAGTGTTACTGAGAGATGACTTCAAGTCACAACCCTACATTTGGAAAATAACATCTCTCCACAGTGCCCTCAGAGATAGTCTGAAGACCTTTTTGAGAAAAGACCCATCAAAAACAAGCGTAGAGACTTCTGAAGTCCAGTGAGGCAGTTTGAGGAGTGAGATTTAAAGATGCTTTTTGTGGTTGATGGCTTGGCTCAGAAAAAAAGAGCAGGGTATCCACCTCTAAGCTTATCCCCAGCAAAACTTAGTTCCTGAAGAGAATGAAATCCTAATAAAGCAGAGCAAATAGGTTTTGGTACTGTCGTGGTATAACCCCAGCAGGCAAGTAAGCACCACGCAGCGGCTCGCTCACTCCCCCCTGGTGGGATGGGAGAGAGAATCAGAAGCGTAAAAGTGAGAAAACTGTCAGGCTGTGTGGTGCTTAGTAGCCAGCTGGGGTTAAACCATGACAGGTACGCTGACTGATTGTTAGTCTATTACAATATTGCCATCATATTGATTTGCTGGAAAATCTCTAGAATGACAGAAGCTTACTGAATCAAAGCAAAATTGCTATAAGGCATTACAAAGTAGTAAGAGTTTAACTAAAAAAGAAAGTCATAATTCTGTGAAAGTATGATCTGACTTCTTTCAGGGGAGGGGGGAGGGAAGGAAGAGGTATGATTTAGCTATTAACGTGGGATTTGAATCCATAATTGGATAAAGGGAATATGTTTTTTTAAAAGTTGCATTTTAAATGCATTTTACATGCTTTTCTTTGTAAGAGAACTTTGTTTCCATATAAATAATTTGTATGTGTGTAAGTTAATTATGGTCTCTCCTGTGTCATGATTTCAGAGAGCCCGAGCTGCATTGCAAGCTGCGAATGCTATGCAGTCTGGAAGCCTGGCTGTTACAAGTGCTCTTGAAGGTGGATTCCTTCCAGGTCAAGGTTCTGTTCTTCGAATCATTGTTGAAAATCTTTTCTACCCTGTCACTTTAGAAGTGCTGTATCAGGTAATGAGGATTGCTAAAAAAAAAATAGTTAAATCTGTTCCCATGTTGCCATTGTAAATCCATTAACTTTTTTTTTTTTTTAAGTATCTGTGATTCCTTAATCATTTGAATGAGGACTGTCACTCTAAAATGAATTGTTGCAATTTAGGCATCTGGGCTTGAATCAGTTTTGCACAAAAGAATCAAAGCAGACAGAGCTTCTGTACTCAGCTTTTCATGTTGTCTTTCATTTCTTTCTTCATTTCTGTGGAAGCAGCAACAAACTTGAGGTGTTATTTCTAATTTATGCCCACATGATGAGCTAGTGAAATACTGATCGTTATGAACTTGTGGACCAATATTTTAGCGCTCTTTGTACTGAGTAACTTTTGTAGTTTGGATTATATTTTGGGGGTTTATATTCACTTTTATAATTTGATCCAAGTGATGTAATATACAAGCATAGTTGCTTGGATAAATGTTTTTGATTGTTCATCAATTGTTAGAATGCCATTTACTTTAACTGCCTCTGAAAGCCTGGAATAGTAGTGGGCTACAGCTATGAAAGAGGTTACCATAACTCCTGCTAGGTGTTGTGCTATGCTGTTGAGAACTATAAGTTTAAAAACAATAACTTTACAAGACTATTTCTTTGTGCCTAAAGGATTTGTCTGTACTTTTTTCAGATATTGCAAAGGGTTTCATACTTGAAGCTTTTGTAATTACTAGTAAATTTGTGCAATAAAAAACATGCCCCAAATATGAGTTTCTTGAATTAACGTCATTTTAAATAACTGGGATATTTTTACAAGAACCTGCAGTCCTAGAAGAAGATTTTTGCTGCTCTACTAGCATCTATAACAAGAGTTGATTGTTATCAACACTTCATTTTTCCTTTTACCTCTCAATATTTCCTTGTTCTGTGGATCTCCACACCATGATACTGATTAACTAGTATACTAGCACTTTGATGTAGCAATTTGCCTGATCTAAACTTTTGTTTTTATCTATGAGTATTGTTCACTCATTATTGAGCTTGTGCAAATACTGTGTCAACTGTTTAGGGTTACTAGTGCACTCAGAATAACCTGAGAACAAACTTCTGTGGTTATAGGAGCTGTACGAGTTTAATAGTGCAACAGCAATTCCTGGATCTAATCTTGTGTGGGTTTTTTGTTTGGTGGTTGGTTTTTTACTAAGCAGGCAGTGGAAGAGGAGGTTCATGTTAATTTAATTTGATTAATGTTTACTTCAGTGCAACAGATCTATATTTTCGGTCTTTGAATTGCCCAATGACCCTAACTCAACTTTTGCAATAGGTCTAGAAAATTAAGCAATATTTGAAAAGGGAGCTTATTTGAAATTCTTAACAGGGACAATCTCCTCTAATTAATGTAGCACTTTGTGCCTGATAGCTACAATGTAACATTACTTTGTAAGTGTGGTAAGGTTAATGGAAATGAAAATTTTCACTGAGAAGTATAGCATCATATGGAACACTAGTAGACAAGCTGTCATCCAAAACTGATTATATTTTGTAGGTTAAAACTGCTTGTCAAGAAACGAACCTTTTCTTTTTTACCACAACTCACCTTAAAATAGTCACTGTAAGAAACAGAGTATTAATTGTTATCTTTGCAGAAACAAAATTGATATATACAGTGGATTTTATGTTTAAAACCAAACAGAAATACATTGAATTTCATTATCTTAAAAAAGGTCTATTTGGTCTTGTGGACAAACATGGAAAAGCATATGTTCAGAAGTTGTATTCAGGCCTTTCTTAAGGGGAAGTGCTTTGTGAACAGGAATTCAATGGCTAATTTTAAATTGCTGTGAAAAAGGTTTCTGTTCTGTCTTCTACCACAAAACGATGACTGCAGCATAAAAACGTTGTTTCTGAGAGACTGAAAAACTAGGCACAAAGGGTTAGGACAGTATGTCTTCTATCCATGATTCTAGGCCTGATAGGTTTGCAAGAGATGCTTGTCCTTATCCCTGGCCTTTCCATTCCAGATTTAATACTTGTCTGGGGGGGGTTCTGCTTTCCTGACTTTGCATCGATTCTAACAGTTTGCTCTAAAACTGTTAGTACTTCCCAAACTCACTTTTCCTCTTCCACTCTTAATTTGGACATAGTTTTGCTGCACTTGCATAATAGCTATACTTTCGTGCTCATTCTTTGTGGCTTTGCTTTTGTATAGACACCTTCATGTAGTGCACTCTCTCATTTTGAGTGTATATATATTTAATTGCTTGCATTTGCAATAAATCAAATGCTATTCAATTGTGAATTAGAGGGGTAGGTCCCAAACTAGGTCTTTGTCTTACTGCTTTCCTTCTTTGTCTTCTAGTTTGCACAGTGGGTCTACGTAATTAATTTGTAGGCACATAAACTATTTAAGATGTATTTTTGGTCACCAAATTTGCAGAATATGTTTGAAGTACAGAATGTAAAGGTGGATACCTTGAAAGGCAGTTTGCAGTTCCCATCTCAACTGACTTGTGAAAGTCCATTTCTCAAACCTCAACTTTGATTGTCCACAATTTCTCTGCAGACATTGGACAAATGCCTCTTGGGTTGGCCTTCCCTCCTCTTAGTTGAACAGCCATTGCTAAATCTTTAAGGAAATTTTATCCTTCTTCCCCATCTTTTGTACCCTCTCTTTAGATTTTTTTTTTAACCTGAAACAAAATTCTGAGTTCACTCAATTTCTGTTCAGCTCTCACAAAAGAAATAATTTTTAGAAATTTATATGAAGTATTAAAATGCTAGTTTTTAGTGTGCATGTATTATTCATTGTTTCTGAAAGTCCATGTTTTTTCTTACTCAGATTTTCTCTAAATTTGGATGTGTCTTGAAGATTATCACCTTCACTAGGAACAATCAATTCCAAGCTTTGGTCCAGTATGCTGATCCGGTTAATGCATATTCTGCCAAAATGGTAAGTGTAGTGTATTCAGCTTGATTTTTTTTTTGTTTGTTTTTTTTTGCCTGTTTGTTTTTCCCCAGATGAATGGGGAACATTAGGGATAGCTTGATCATTAACTTTATGACTTCATCAACTCTTGTTGCACATGAATAACTTTGACATCCCTCATTAGTTAAGAAGATAACACTCTTATGGTCAACTGAAACCATAAATGTATAGCGCACACACCCCAAGACCTGCATGAGTCTACCAAAACAAAAATGGGACCTGTCAGTAGTGATAACTGATGGTAACTGTAGTTGACCAAAAAGTCTTTTGCCTTTCAAAATAAATGGACTATTTTCAGTGAGATTCAATACTAATAATAGTGTAGTTCAATGCCCAGAGATTAGAGGAATGTTACATGTTTTACTTGTTTGAATTTCAGTAAGAAATTTACAGTAATCAATGTTTTCACCTTGAACTTCTTAATTTCAAACCAGCTGTACCCTGATTTTTAAAATGCACGTTCTCAGTAATGAAGAAAAGCTCACCTACTTTATGTACATTTTCTGTGGTGAGTTAACCTTGGCTGGCTGCCAGACACCTACTGCTCTCACTTCCCTTCCTCAACAGGACAGAGGGAGAAAACAAGATGAAAACCTCGTGGGTCAAGATAAGGACGGAATTGCTCACCAATTACCATCACAGGCACAAGAGACTCAACTTAGGGAAGATTGATTTAATTTATTGCCAATTAAAAATAAAGTAGGACAGTGAGGAATGAAACCAAAAGTAGAAACACCTTCCCCACACTCTTACTCCTTCCCAGGCTCAACCTCACTCTCAATCCTTCAACCTCCTCCCGCCGAGCGCCGCAGGGAAATGGGGAATGAGGCTTTCAGTCAGTGCATAACACTTTCTTTGCTGCTCCTTCCTCCTCACACTGTTCTCCTGCTCCAGTGTGGGTCCTTCCCATGGGATACAGTCCTTCACAAGACACTCCAATGTGGGTCCTTCCCACGGGCTGCAGGTGGATATCTGCTCCACTGTGGACCTCCATGGGCTGCAGGGGGACAACCTGCATCACCATGACCTTCTCCAGGGGAATCTCTGCTCTGGTGCCTGGACCACCTCCTCCTCCCCATCCTTCTCTGACCTTGGTGTCTGCAGGGTTGTTTCTCTCACATTTTTCTCACTCCTCTCTCTCCCAGCTGTTGCACAGTGTTTCCTACCCTTTCTTAAACATGTTATCACAGAGGGGCTACCAGTGTTCTGACTGGCTCTGCTTTGGGCAGCAGCGGATCTGTTTTGGAGCTGGCTGGAACTCACTCTCTCCAGCACGGGGCAGCCCCTGGTCTCTTCCCACAGAAGGACAGCAGCCACCCCACTACCAAAACTTTCACACGTAAAGCCAATACATTTCTTTTTTCAAAACAGCTTTTCAAATTAGTTTCCATATAATAGCTAAATATTTTAATTTCTAGAAAATATTGTTAATTTCCTCATGGGGAAGTAGTTTCATAATTAAATATTAAGAGCTGAGACCTCAAAGATTTTTGCAGAAGGGACAGCAGTGTTACAAATCATCACATTATAATACTTGAGCTGTGAAGTAAAAAATAAAGACAGAAAACAAAATACTTCACTTACCTGAAACTAATCATGAGATGCTTTGTATTTCTCTTTAATCTATGTGGTCACCTCAATATTAGTAAATAAATAAAATAAATTTGAAAGTTCCCATGGAAGGTATATAGAAGAATAGATTCTGCGAAGTATTAAGTGGTATTTAGCATTTGTTTTTTTCAAAAAATTACCAAAAGACTAGAGTGAATGGAACTTTTATCCTACTTTTGTTATTGAAGTTGACTTTATTCTCAGCTTCAAAATTAAAGGCACAGAACATTTATCTATTGCTATTTGCACTTTAGTCCAGTAGGTAAATTCACTATGTGGTTTAGAGATTAAGTATATATTTGAAATTAGTAAAGGTAGTTGGGATTATAGCCTGTTTGTTAGCAATAGCATCATTTCTTAAAGAACAGTATTAATAATAAATAATACCCTATTAAAGATTTCACAGAAATTATAATTTCAGTCTAGATTATATCAAATAATTATAACAAACCAGTATCTTTTGAGTGGTTTTTCCTCCTTCATCCATCATGATTCTTTTTTGACTGTTATAGGCCAAAAATACTAATTCAGTGATCTTTCTGAGCGTAGCCACTTTTCGAAAGACAGATTTTATAGAGTCATTTAGGTTGGAAAAGACCCTTAAGATCATCGAGTCCAACTGTAAACCTAGCACTGCCAAGTCCACCACTAAACCATGTCCCTAAGCACCACATCTACGTGTCTTTTAAATACCTCCAGAGATGGGTACTCAGCGACTTCCCTGGGCAGCCTGTTCCAGTGCCTCACTACCCTTTTGGTGAAGAAATTTTTCCTAATATCCAATCTAACCCCACCCCCGGTGCAACTTGAGGCCGTTCCCTCTCATCCTGTCACTTGTTACTTGGGAGAAGAGACCGACCCCCACCTGGCTACAGCCTCCTTTCAGGTAGCTGTAGAGAGCAATAAGGTCTCCCCTCAGCCTCCTCTTCTCCAGACTAAACAACCCCAGCTCCCTCAGCCATTTCCTCATAGGGCTTGTTCTCTAGATCCTTCACCAGCCTAGGTAAGGGACAGTTCCATACAATAAACATCTCCAAATTAGTACTGCTACTTGCATTTGATACCCTGTGTTGAGACAAGTAAGATTAGAAGCACAGCTAGAAAAACAAGTCATGCTTAAAGCTAGGTTTTGTCCATTGGCACAAGGCGACTTCATCCTTACTAATTAGTGGACTACACTGGTACTCTACACAGGATATTTAGGTGAGGATAGTGGCCATGTAATTGTCTACTTGGTGTTTAAAAGCAGCACCTTAAAAACAGAGGATGAATTTCTGTTTGGATACAATTGTGCGGTGAAAATAAAATAAACTTACAGTGGTGGCTGCCACTATGTGTTTTGCCTCTGAAAATGTGATTATTTTTCTTCAGGGTCTGGATGGCCAAAGTATCTACACTTTGTGCTGCACTCTGCATATTGATTTTTCCAAGTTAACTAACCTTAACGTAAAGTACAACAATGACAAAAGCAGAGATTTCACTCGCCTTGACCTTCCTTTTGGTGAGGGCCAGCCACCCCTGGAGCCATCCATAGCAGCTACCTTTGGTAAGAAACCTTCACTTTTAGTGATAAATACACAATAAGATCATTATGCTTTTTACGTTGCATTTATGCTCTGGCTTCATAACAGGTTCACAGAAGCGCACATTGTGTACATTTCTGTTTGTTAGGTCCAGCGAAGTTTGTATGGAAAGCAGAAAGTCCTACTCATGATAAATTAATATCTGAAACTATAACATGAGGAATGCTCTTGGGCAAATTCAAAGTGTTGTCAAAAACTACATTTGTAAAATGCTGTGAAATGGTATCATTGGTACAGTTAGAATAATAAATGTTGCATGTCAGAACGGTCAATGGCAGTCATCCACAATTGACACTGATTGCCTAAAACTGCTTGAAAATAAGTGTTTTAAGGGTGTTAGCTCTTTTTTATTGGTATTTTAGGATAACTGCCTGCTGTAGCAAACAAAACCATAAGAAACTTAGAAATGCTACACTTATTTATGTATGTTTTGTAGTCACCTTCTGAAAGATAAAATTTTAGAAACTTTCTTGAATTTTAGAAGTCACTTCCATGGCATAGAGGAGACAGCATCTGTTTGAAGACACACTGGAGAAGCCTTTTTGGCATAAATAGCTCATGCATGCTCATTTAATCATTTGGTAATAATGCAAATCATCAAACAGATAAATCTGATGACCAGGCAGAAGTGCTCACAATGCAATTTGAGTGATTTTAGCTATTTTTCTTCCTCTCTAATGACAACCATTAGCAATAATACACAGCTAAGGACTGTCAGCTGTTGCATAGGTATCTAAGTACTGTCCAGTTGGTTAGAACAGCAGCAAGGGCTGGGAAAGAATTCCCTTTTTTCCTTTAGTTTTCTGTGATAGCTAGGGCAGATACTGGGTTTGGTTTGTTTTTTTTGGATAGTTGGCTTTATTAGCTTAGATTAGAGTAAGAAAATGAGTTGCACTCACTGCTTTCTTGGTTGTTTTTGCTGGTCCCCTTAAAGGTAGACCTTGGATCTTTATGTAACGTACAACTGTCTTTATAATTTTTTTGAGGATTTGCCATACAGTGTCATGGAAACATGCTGTTACAGATCTGATATGTTCTGATAATTAGACTTACACAATTTGAAATGTCAATGAAAGGGGAAGGTGCAATTAGAGTAGATTAAGGACAAACATGCTTGTAGAGCAGAGATAAAATTGTATGCATGCTTTTGGAGGATAACACAGGAGTGCTTCTCCATGTCCTTCCACCTCACTCGTCCAAGCTTGTCATTGCTAGCAATCTCATTTTCAGTCTGAACATTTACTGTAACAGTAAGAAGAGCGGAGGTGATGGTGTAAAGAAGAGTCTGACGTCTGTATCAAAATCTGTTCGTAGTGCAGTCATAGTGAAGCAGCTCCATAGATATTTTTCTTTTAAAAAAGTAGCTGTAGACAGGGAGAAGCATGCTCTTAGCTTTCCTGTCAGAGGTGACAACATGCATATGTTGCCATAGGCATGTTTTGATAGTCCTCAGTTGCATGACATGAGGAAAAGGTGTTAGGAGTCGTGTCAGCACTTACACTTCCTATGTTATTACTAGTGGATGTAGTTTGGATGAAGAGTTATAAGATAAAGCAGGTAACTATCAGAATAATACATCCGTTTTTTCTGTAGACTTGAAGTGATCTTAATAGCAAAACTGAACTGCTCTTGAAACTTGTTTTTTTCTCTTTTTTTGTTTTCTTTTGTTTTGTTTTTAATGGAAAAGATACTGCACTATAAACAAGCAGATTTTGTGAATGTTTTGCATTTAAAGAGTTCCCTCACCCAGTGAGCATAAGCAGAGATACATGAATTAGCTTGCTTTGAAAGCTAGTTGCTAGCCATGAAGCAAATGATTTTACACATTAAAAAAATGCAACAAAGAATTCCAGATCTTTCTGCATTAGCTCTGTTTGACAATTTTAACCTGCCTGATTTTGGTATCAGTGTGCAACATGCAGGTCTCATTTGGCAGAATAAAAGTGCTTTATCTATTTCTTCATTAATGTTTCCATTACCATTCTTGGATTGTGACTAAGTGATTAATACCCATGTTGCCAGCACTTGTCAGTATAATGCACCAGTGTGTGCATTTCAAGAACAGGATGACTTGCTTTGGTGTGATAAATTTATTCAGTTGTTTGTATGAAAGACACTTTGTTGCCACAGATAAGAGGAGGTGTAATGTGATGCAATATTCATGGATACTTGATCTGTGGTGTCTGTTTCACTTGTTGTTGTTGTAATTCATAACAGATACTTCTTATGGTATTGTATCATTCCTGTCAATAACCATCTGTTAGTGAATGTAGCTATTTTAGTCAACAGTGGAGGTTTGAGCAGTAAAGCAGACATATTGCCAGGCTTGCAGGATGTATTTGCTGATTATACATGTCCCGTTTGAAAAAAAATCTAGTGTGCTAGCATATGAACGAATCCACAGCTCAAGCCTGTATCTAACATGCCTCAGAACACAGGTTTGTGTGCTGCCCTGGGTAGTGCTTAACTCCACATACAAATGTGAAAATCACTGAACTATCTTTGAGGCCGGGACTCTCCATATGTTGATATTCCAAATCTGTTTCATGCTTGTGATTGCCAGGAGAACCATAAAAAACACTGGTTATTTATGAAGTAATACAAGCCGGGAAAGTACATCTCCTTAAAAAGCAAAATACATATGGTGTATGCATCTCAATAGCTAGTAAAATTCAGAACTTCAGATTCATTGTGGTTGTTTATTGTATTATGGGCATTGTATTTAGCCCACAGTGGTTTTAGAAATATCTAGGAAATAGTTATACCTCATCACTGCAAAACGTCTTTGAGTGTATTTACTTCCAGAAAATTTCTAGAATGCATTTCCATTGTGTGAATAAAAACCGTTGAACATTGCACAACAGGTCTCTTAACGGATACTACTCCATGCTGTGCTTTCCTATTCAAACTTGTCTAAATTACATTTTGCCCCGATTTCATTTTAAAGAGGGACATTGAGGCTGATCGGAGTATTTGCCTTCAAAAGTGGCTGAAAATTGTCTTTGTAAAACATAGAATCTTGGATTTCAATGAGAGTTTTTAACCCAAATGTTTTATAAAAGATATAATCACGGACTGAAGTCAGAATAGCAACACTGGAAGCTGATTCTTATTGCTGAAGTCTCTTCTGTTTTCTAAAAATTCTGAAATCTGTTTTCATTAGATGTGTCTGCTCTCTCTAGGCACCCAAAATGTCATCTTCCCATCATATGCAGGGGCTGCAGGGTTTGCCCCAGTCATGGGCTTTGCTGAAGGTGCTGGTAAGTTTCTATTTTCTAAAAATGTGGTGTTTGCATTTGGGGCTAGTGGTCTATCTGAATACACCTGTGTTCAGAGCAAATTGTTTTCAAATATAGCAGTCAGAACACAATGTTCATTTGAGTCATTCTGATTCTCTTTCTCATATTATTCAGTAAAATTACTTTCTGTAATAAAAAATATATGCTGATGTAATTTATCATTTAATAAGCGAAGAAATTAAATGCCATGATAAAGATTACCTGCAAGAGAAGAAACTGTAAGCATCTGTGTTTCTAAGAATCATGATACTTCAGTGACATTCAAAGCTAAAGCAGGAAGTCTCCCTTTTTCTGGCTATAAAATGAGAAGTAAGTAGTCTTCTAGACTCAGCAATCTTTTTCTTTCTAGCACACAATGAACTGTGCTAAATTATTTTTCTTCTTTCTTGGGCTGCAATTTATGTCCCCTTTTGTTTGGGTCTGTTGGCGTAGCTGAATATTTCTTCATCTCAGGAGGGGAGGTGCTTCCTGCTTTATTGGTCAGATACTAGGAATAACTCAGTTCCTTAAAAGCGTTTTGTAATTGAATAGTGATGTTTTTGCGAAACATAACCTGCTTTTGTCTTCTGGAATGTCTTCTCCACTTTGAGATGTCAAGTGATGCTATTAAAACCCTTCCAGGTCTCTTGGTTCCACCTGTTCCTGGAGCACCTAGTTCTCTTGCAGTCCCCGCATCTGCAGCGCCTGGACAGATAACTGTTCCTGGTGTTTCTGGTGTTCCAGGAAATTCTGTTTTACTGGTCAGCAACCTCAACCCTGAAGTAAGTTTGATTGGTGACTGATACTGATGCGAGTATCAACTTGTACCAACTGCCAGAATCCTTCTTGCAAATTGACATTAGCTGAAGGAATAAGAGAGGAAATCTCTATGCTAATATAAAAACAGGACAGCTCTATTCTTGTTTGAGATAGTTTGCAATATTGACGAGGTTTAAAAACTCCAGTCAGCAGTCACAAGCTTCCTAACACAATTTACTTTAGGAAACCTATGTTAACAGTGTAGCTAGTAATTAGAGAAAAGTCTATGGTCAGATGTGAGAAATGTTTGAAGAGGTAAACAACAGCTATTATGACTAAACCTACTGGTATCTCAATAGGACTCCTCCGTGTGGTACTTTATCATTAGAGAAGCTAAAGAATTTTTCATTTGTTACAAAACATGAGGAGTTAGAGAAACAGGAGGGAATAGAAAAAGAGATAAAAGCATACCAAATCAAGTACCTTTCAAAACATTGATAGGAACTTTCTAGTTTTGCAACTTTTCCCAGGTTGGAGAGGAAGAACACAGGTGCACTTGGCTATTGACATCACTGTAAATCCATTTTTAAAAGTTAATAAATACACATGTTCACTTTTCATAGTACCACACAGATTTTTTTCATATGTTGGCAGTAAAATTGCCAAGGACAACTTGGGTAGTTATTTTTATAGTGGAAATGACATAGACTGTTCTATAAGCTTACTGCTGTTACTCAAATATTACACATTGATCTGTGCTTAAGTAAAAGCAATATACATCTCTTAAAAAAACCAATGAAAATCAAGCTTTACCAAGGCCATGACTTAAAACACAATTCTACTTGACTGTTGATAAGCAGTTCTACTACAGCAATGTAAAATTCTTGTTTGTTTTACACCCTTATTAGATGCACTTAACCATAAAACTGGTAATATTAGGAGTTATTGGCAAAATGGAAGTTATCTTCATATTACTGTTGTTGAAAAATCTGTTGACCAGTTCCTTTAATCTTTAAGTAATTGCTGTGTTTCCGGTTTTGTACTAATAGCTGAATTCCACAGTAAGCATCAAAAGAAAGCTGTAGATTAGGACTGTAAGACAAGTCAATTTTTCTTTGATTTGTCAATATATCTCATCAGTTAATTTCTGATGATTGCTGTGGACGTGCTTTCTGTAGCTGATTATTCAAGATGATTCTCTGAGTCTTAAGAGTGTGTTTTTTTTAAGAATAAGCATATGTGAAGCATAGGTCAAAGCTATTTTTAGGGCATTGCTGCTTTACTTAATACTAATCATATCTAAGAAATTATGTAGAACTTTGTGCACAATGCATGATACAACATAAATGCATTAAATAATTCTCAACTTCTTAAAAGGTAAAAAATAAGAATGTGCAACAACATTAATTGTTGGAAATATAAGTTGTTGTAAATACATTTTTTGGCTACTGTATAACACTTGTTCTTCATTAGTGGTTGTCTGAGCCCTGTCGCTTCTTTTCCTGTGTATAGGAAATCTGGTTGACTTTATTTCAATTTATATTTCTCCCCTGTTGCAGGGTTTCAGTGTGCATTTGAACATTCCCTCATGACTTTTAAATTAGCTGGTTTTGTCTTTCAAAAACCATTTTTTACTAGAAATTTTGCAGTCTCATTTGCTTAAGAAATGTCTTTAAATAAACTCAGTGCTGAATTAAAATATTTGGTCCAGAAGGGTAAACTCTAGAAGCATTTAAATTTTACAGTGGTAGTAATTGTTCCTTATCACTAAATGCTGATGATAAACCAGTACGGGCTTACACTTAGGCTGCAATATCTTCTGGTTTTAAATAATTTAGGTATGTTTGGTACACATTTCAAACATTGTGAACTGAGAAGGAATAGGGCTAGAAAGTGTGAGTAGTGCTTCTGATACCCAGGTATTTTTAGTATTCATTACTGGCAAAACCTTTGCCTCAGCTGAATAAAATCTGGCTGCATTAGGGTGTAAATCTTTGGTGCCTGGGGAGCTTGGTACACAAGGATTTAATTAAAAATCACTGAAGAAATATTATTTCTTTCAATATTTAGCTTTATGTTCACAGCTTCTAATCAAACACAATTCAAATACCACTTTCTATGTGTTTCATATATAAACAGTTAAATGTTATGTGTATCACTTTAGCACGTAATGGTCAGGTACAGAGATGAAGATGAAACTGAAAACAAAGCAAACACATTTTGCAGCAACTGTTTTTAGTTTTGTAGGTGTTGTTGGCTGTTTAGAAAATACAAAGGAGTTCTTGAGTTCTATTTCTAGTTTAGCAAATGGCTTTCATTTTTCAGGGAATGAACTCCTAGCTTGGAAAGAATAAGTTCAAATAATTAAGCCACTTAATATATCAGTAACTTCTTCAGCATGACAGACTGAGTCTTGAGTGATGAAAATGCATGAGCTGAAGTGTTAGCTTGTTCAAATATTTTTATACGTGCATAGCAAATATATATTAACAAGAATGCTATACACTGTAGCTATTGCAGGGAATGGCTTTTGGAGAGACAGGTTTATGTGTTAGTGTGCAGTATCTCTTCCGTTCTTTTTGTTTACCATGCACTTATGCAATAGATTTCTTTATTTGCATGGCTTTAAAAATAATATACTCATTTTATCATTTAAACAGGCTATCACACCACACGGACTTTTCATCCTGTTTGGTAAGATATGTTAAATATACCTTGAGAAACTACGGGGCTAGCATTCTTTTTATTTATCTGACATATGCTGGTTAATGCAAGCTCCATTGTTCTGTCCTTGTCCAGAAAATGCACTGGAGAATGTGCTGGTTTTAAAATTACAATAATTTGAGTCAGTGGTTGTGGGCCATAGGTACCAAAAAGGCAAAATGGTTACAGTGTCAGAAGAATTTCAGTGTGTGGTCCAATTTGTCTACTACAAAGAATGGGAAAGCAAAGTAAAATAAAAAACAAAGATTGCATCAGAGGAAATGGAGTACAGAATTGGCACGTACGTTAGCTGCAGAGGGCAATGTTTGTTGGCAGAGTAATATTTTAATATGCCTCTGTTAAGAGGACTTTAACACTGTTGCACTATTTAAAAGCTGAACATAAACATGCAGTTTTATGACTGGGATCCTGGGGTTTTTCCCCCATTTCTAAGCCTCAGAAAATAATAAACACACTTTAAAGCTCCCCTTCATACTAATATTCTAACCCACCTGTTTAATGAGGTGATTATTTTTTGTAACACTAGTGTTAGTCAAAAGAAACAGACTTGCCCTTGTGCTGTTTGTAGTAATGCTCTGGACAAATTTCCTTTCTGGATTTCCACAGGTGTGTATGGTGATGTGCATCGTGTGAAGATCATGTTTAAGAAAAAGGAAAATGCTTTGGTTCAGATGGCAGATGCAACCCAGGCTCAATTAGGTACTGATTTTTAAGGCACAGTTATGCTTCAAACTGGCGTGAGTGTGATACAGATGATAAATTCGCCTTTTGTCAGTGACAAGCATAAACAAATTAAATCCATCATTTTGATGCTTTACTGCATACAAACATTTCCTTGTATATGTTGATAATGATCTCTTTGCTTTCATGTAAACAAATTATTTTCCTGTAGTAGTTTAAAAAAAAATTCTGTGAATCTCAATCTAGTAAATGTTAGAATTAAAACATCATACAATTTTCCTGTAGTTTATCGTACATCTAGCTATTTAAGAATAATGAACTGCTCTTTATTGAAATGCTGTTTTGCATTTTTGTTGCATTTAGACTGGAGGTTATATTAAACCCTTACACTTGTTTTAAATATAATGTTATGACGTAGCCCACCTGGTAGACACGAAGTTGCAGTTTAAATTTAAAATGTGAAATCTGACACTAAATAGAAGACAGTATTCAAAGAATCCATTTTTTCTTCCCCTCCCTTCATTCCTGTCTCAATTATGTTTCCACTGGTTAGCTATCAGCAACTTGAATGGACAGAGGCTTTATGGAAGGGTCCTCCGTGCTACTCTTTCAAAACATCAGACAGTTCAACTTCCTCGTGAGGGACAAGAGGGCCAAGGTCTGACAAAGGACTATAGCAATAGCCCTTTACATCGCTTTAAGAAGCCTGGCTCTAAGAATTTCCAAAATATCTTTCCTCCATCTGCCACCCTGCATCTCTCCAACATCCCGTGAGTATCTGCATGTGTGATTTAGGAAAGATGAGTTTTTTTAGGGTATGTTCTTAAGTTACAAAGTCTGACATGAGCTTTAAATTTCCTTGGCCTTCTACATTTTCCGGCGAATTTGGGTCATTCTTCTGTGTAATTAAAAATAAGTGAACTCTTTAACTGTCACTTTTTTATTGTTAGCAAAGAGGATAACTGACTGAATGCTCTTCTTTATGAGTTTTAATACAGTTTACACTTTCTTGAGAATATGTTTTTGGTTTTCATGTATTAAGTCCTGTGTTATAAATTTTTGCAAAGACTAAAGACTGGTTTTTGAGATAATGTACTGGAGTTACGTTACATCAAATTCATCATTGGCATCATTATTTAATGTAGATACAGTTTTTAATCATTCTAACACTTTTTAAAGAACAGTTTCTACAGAATTCGGACCTCTTACATAGAAGGGAAGCTGTTTCAAAAAAAAATGTATTAAGAATTGTGTTCTTTCAAACTGAAACAACCTTTTTTCCTATCTAGAATGTTGTCAATGATGTGTGGAGTGACAGCCAAACATAAGTTTTTACAGGCTTCTTTTGTTCAGCAGCTGTGCAGGGAGGGAAAAGGGAAAACTATGGAATTTTGTCCAAATAAGGGGGGGGGTAGAAAACTTTCAAAATTGAAAATATGTGAAGCACACTAGCAGTAATTACAAGATTAAAGGTATTTTCAAAGGTACTGGTTAAGATCTTAAGTGATTTTTATGCAATCTAAATTTAACTGGGGGAGGATGAAAAGCAGTAGAGTGTATTTGAAATATTTTTGTAGCACACTGTGGGGCTAAATCTTAGTGTGAAAGCAAAGATGTTTGGGCTAAAGTGTTGACATGGCTTGAGTTGGTGGAGATAGTTTTTGCTGTTCAAATTTAATTTAGAAGGCAGAATTGAGATTTTGATACTATTACTGAACTCTGTGCTCTTTTACAAGTTGAGGGGCGTTTGTTTGCTTTTTTTTTAAATAGGCCTTCTGTTAGTGTTGATGATCTGAAGAAACTTTTTGCAAGTACTGGATCTACTGTGAAAGCCTTCAGATTCTTCCAGTAAGTTCTCTTGTAAAAATGCTGAGCAAGCTTTCATCCTGGAAGACAACTAATTGCTTTTTTGGGGGGGAAATTCCCTGTGTATATAACTATAGGCAAAATTCCATGTGGGTATATCTATAGGCAAAAGCTGTACAGCTGTGACAATTTTTATGATAATTCTAATCTTAAAATTTTAAATGGGATACTCTGTTAGCATAATTAAATGAAAATTATTCAGCCTTTTGACAAATTCCATATGTATTCAAAGTAACATAAGTTTAAGGAAAGTAAATATTCGCTTCTTTAAAAAGAAATCCAAGCTATGTATATGTAAAATGTCATGTAAAAGATGACAGTGAATCTGCGCTAACATTCATTAAGGTTGCTTGGCAGCATTATTTTAGCCTGATCATAACTGCTAGAATAATCCCATATATATGGACAATACAAGTGTTTCTTAGAGGTCTTCAAGCCTTATTTCAACCCTGGTTTTTGAAGTGCAGTATAGTGGAAGAATGGCATGGCTGTAGGCCATTGATCTGCGAAATTTGTTTAGTTTTATTATCTCCTTATTTTAGCAGGTGCATAACTAATTCTGATTCTTTCGCTGTACAAGCATTCAGTGTGTGTGATGTGGCTGAAAAAATACTTGCGTCACTTTTCTGTGTTGGCTAGTGCAATGAAAATTTGGTTATGATTAATAATGTTTTTTACTGTACTTCAGGACAGATTGCAAAATGGCTCTTATCCAGCTGGGCTCTGTGGAAGAAGGGGTTCACGCTCTCATTATGCTTCACAATCATGACCTTGGAGAAAACCATCACCTCCGAGTTTCCTTCTCAAAATCTACAATCTGACTTTTCTGTGAACTTACCTTTTAAGACTGCATCACAGTTTTAGTAAAATCTTCAAATACAGACAGAAACAGCTGTGACCAGCTCTGTCTCTTAAAAGAAAAAGCTCATTCATACACAAAGAATTAAGTGATGATCATTTCTGATCTTTAGCTGCCAGTATGCGATCAAAGTTTAATATTCATCCATAGAAAGAGTCTTATGTGAAATTCCTTTAGCAACAATATTTATCATGAAATTTCCTACTTTAAAATTATATTTTGAGAACGTCCTTTTAGCTTTTGTTTGAAATCAGCCTTACAAAACATTTTAGAGTGCTTTTACAATATACCAAACAAAAAGTATTTCTAACAAAATGGTAAATCTACTCTACACAGATTAAACACTAATTTGAATGTGAAATAGTGCTTGCATTTTTTGAAGAAAAGCAAGCATTGACTGTGAGTGTCCTCTAAATAGTATTTATGTTTCCAGGGTGTGTGTTCATACTTTGGCAAATCTTTACAAAAAACCAAAAAGTCTGTGCTGTTCATATGGGTTAAATTATTAGAGAAAAGGCAGTGCCTTCTCTCTGTGGAGTAAAAGATATTTGACAAGTTTCTTCAAGATGTGGTATCATCAGAGACATAGCTTGAATTAACCATGGGATGGAGGTTTGATGTCTTATTTTTACTATGAAGTGACGTTGTGTAGTAGTACTTTGGAGAAAATAAGACAAGAAAATAGTCCTGATTTAAAAGAATTTTTTACATTTCTTTAAAGAATAAAATGTTTACAATCTTATGGAAAATATTCAGGTCTATGATGGTTTGACAAATTTTTAAGAAGTTATTTTTGTTAAGGTCATCTTTGGGGGATAAAAAATTAAACAGCAAAAGTTTTTTGTACTACTATAATGTCTAATACTTAAATTACTGTGTATTTACTTAATTTCTTATTATGTGCCTTACTATGTGCTGATGATAAAATAGCTTAGAGTTTTATCTGAAGTACCTTGAAAAATATACTGTGGATTTTGTGAAAATTCTCTCTGTTTGGTCTTTTTGGAAATGTTTTCCTTGATACTTCAAAATATTTTTTTTTTTTCATTAAGTATACTCTGAATTCTAGTGTCTTGTGGTTTGGTATAGAGATTGGATAGAGGTGGGAATGAGCTTTAACTCATTGCATAATCATGTAGGGATTCTTCGAATTTACCTGGTTGCAGTTGTCTGATACCAGTACTTGGCTGAAAAAAATTTAACATCCAGAAAGATGCCCTAAAAAAAACCCTATATAGAAAGACCAAACAGCAAATTCACTCCAGTTTCTGGACTTCATCAAACTTTTTGAGAGACATCGGCTGTATCAGAATATTCTCTTTCAGGTTCCTGCATTTTCTCTCAGTAGTAAACTTCAAGTAATAAAGAGCTAGCATTCTTTCCTTTGTAAGTATGAAAAACTGTTTGATACTGAATGTCCATTTCTCTTTGGAGAAGAGGTGCAGTTAGTTTTTGTGTTGGAAGTATATATGAACTTTAGTGACTTCTGACTGTATTTTAAAAAGTTAAATTACATTTTAAGAGATTTTCTTTCTAGTATTTCCTTAACCACCTTTTAAAGAGGTATTCCTCTCAAACATAGCATTTGTTTACTTCTAACTATTGCAGAATTTGCTTCTGCTGTAATGCTTTGCCACACATTCATTTTGTTTTTTCATTGATTTGTATGAATAGTATGACTTTTTTCTATCTTTCTAGAAGAAAGGGCATGTTTTTACCATGATCTGAGTATTCTGGAGTAAGCTTCTTCAAGTTTTCTCTCTGAATTATTTTTGCAAAATCAGCAAGATACTAGCTTGCCTACTTTTAATGTATGTAAATTAATTAGAGGTGCAGCAGCCAATCGTAGTAAAGATGGTGCCAGACCTCTGTACTGCAACAAAAGTGTGCTATTTGACAGTAGATAAAATGCTGACTAAATACATATGTAGCTATAATAAGTGCTGTACACACAAATAAATAAATATTCAGAATGTACTATTTACTGGAAAGCTAAATTGGCTTAGGAATAATAGACAATGTTATCTTTGGGATTTGAGATAGTCTTTCCATTTTCCCCTTTCTGAAATAGCTAATTCAGTTTGGTGAAGTTTGAAACCAAATTTTTTTTTTAATTCATGCAAATAAGTAATTGTGTGGTGCCAGAGCACCACATTAAAAAGTTACACATTTATGATTTTAGCAAAGTGCAGTTGTAAGCAGGCTTGTTCATTTGCATAGGCGCTTTTTCACAAAGACACTTAATTCTAATTCATGTCTATGTTTTACCTTGTTAGCGGTCACATTGATACCAGTTGAAGAGAATCTTGCTGGACTGGGAATGTTCCTTGTTTACTGCATGTAAAGTGGTTTGATAATACTAGGCCATTATCCATAAAGTGCTTTGTCACTTTTCTTAAGAATTACAGCTACAGAGGAGAGAAATCATGTTAGTTCTGAATGTAACTCTAAAGCAGGAAAAAAGGAACCTTAAATTTGAGAGCTAATATTGGCACACATAATATCAGGAACAGTATATGTATACTGTCTGTGGAATATGTTATATGTGTATACAAACATGTGAATCACATGCATTTTCATTTATTGACTCTGATAGCAGAAGATGGGAAAACTTAATCAAACATAAAAGGATGAGGGCCTCTGACATTCTCCCAAAAAAAGAAAGGAATAATTTCTCAGTTTTAACTTAATGTTAGAGTATAGCTAATGCCAGCTCTGGACTCTTCGCAGTTCGAAATGTAAAAGTCTACAGTTTAAGTTAGGAGAGATTTACAATTTTTTAATTTGAGAAAAATCTGGGTGGTTCATATTTATGATGTTTGCTTTTTGGTTTTGTGCTACATTTATCATGTATCTTTTTTAACTCTCCTTTGTTGTTGTTCTGTTTCTGCAGCTGAATTATTCCTGTCAATTTACTTTTAGGTTTGTGTATATCTTAAAGATGCTGCCTCTTAGGGAGATCTGCTTTTACAAGAAGTGCAGAGAAGCTTCAAAACTAACAGTACATCTTAATGTTTGCTTAGCAGAATGAAGGCAATAGTTAAGGCTAGTTTATCTCATTCAGTATTCTGCCTTGAATAATTAAAAGCAAAAACGTAACCCCTTGTTTATCATAAGGCATTGTTAGTGAAGGATCAGGACAAAAGGAGTAATTCTTATACTTTGTGCTTGACTCATTAGTGCCTGGCTGCAAAAGCACAGTTGCATCTCAGTTCTTGATTCTCTAAAGCGTATATGAGCAGACCCCTTGACATCTGTGAAAAGAGAAGGATTTGGGAAAGAATGGGATTATTCTACAAATTCTTACAATGATGTACGTTGGAAAGGAACCTCTGGAGGCCTTAATCCTACCTCTCACTCAGATTAGGGCCAACTTTGAGCAGTTGCTCAGAGAATTGTCCAGTTAAGTTTTCAGTATTTCCAAGAATGGAGATTTCACAAATTGTGTGTTCTTCCCACTGCTCCAATGTTTGACTGCCCTCATTGTGAATTTTTTCCCTAATATGTAATTTGGCTTTAAACATACTGCATCCTGTATCTGTTGCCTTTTGTCCTGCTAAGTGTGCAACCCTCAGGAAGATTCTGGCTCCATCTTCTCTATACTGTGGCCTTAAATTGTTAAAGATAGGTTCATAATTTCTTTAATATAGGTTCTTAATTTCTATTTAAATAATTTGTGAAGTACCTGGTAATGTGCATAGTGTAACCCGGAACTTGTACTCGAAAACACTAGTGGTTATATTCTGACTACAGGTACTGGAAATGGTTGAGGGCAGAGTTCTCTGCCTATGTGTATGTCAAGTCCACAAATCAGCTCTGGGTTACCTCCAGCTCCATTTTTTTTTTTTTGGTGGATGCATGCTTGGTTCAAAGTGTAGTAAGGCCTTTTTAACAATCCAGGAGCAGTTTAGTGCCTTTTCAAATGACCTGTGATCTGTTGCATAATGATGAAACTTTTGCTTCTTTGAATTTCTTCGGATGTCTTTGAACAGAAGAACAAATTTCTGAAACTTTGATTAATAATTTTACTTGGTTGCCTTGTCTGCTGGTCCTGTCAGTTGCACTTTTTTTGTGCACCGACAGGTTGAGGTCCTTTTTATGCCTAAGATATTCCACATATCTGAGGAGATTTGCCTATATATGACATTTTTTGATTACAGATGGCAAACCGGTGTTTGTATGCTGAGAAAACTATTTGCTTTTGCTGATAAAACTGCCAGTGTGGTTTGTGGGATCAAATACCTTGCCCTCCTCCGATTCATGTTAGCAGGAGAGTGGTAAGTTCTTTTTTTATAAGGGATGTGGACCTATTACTTGTCATTGTATACTGTTAGCACATATTGCTGTTTTTCAAATGAGAGGTCAACTGCTTACTAACAGCAGTGTGTTGTTAACTAGACCAGAACTACCAGACTTCAAGTTGTTACCATTGTGCTGAAAGGGCACTGGTCAGATTGCACAGAATTTTTTCTTTAAATTAACTTTTATCTTCTAGCTGTCTTCTGAAGATTTGTTTGCTATAGACAAGACTGTTTGCCTGCTCTTTTCACAGCAAATCCTAACAGTTGTGAATTATTTCAAAAAAGAATGGAAAATTTCTGAGGTATTTAACTTCGGGGTTTTATTGCAGGGGGGATAGGGGACGGGAACAAAATTGGACCAAAGTTTATGTGCCTTCAGTAATTCTACATGTAGGGTTTTTTCATATCTATTGTTGTCTTAAGTGTAATAAATAGCTTTTTTTTTTCCCCCCCTGGAAACTATATTTATATTGTTAAAAATGAATGTTGTCAATTGGCTATAAAAGAAGTGAATTACAGCTGTTTCAATAGAGATTTAATTATCCCTCTGCCTTTACCATTGCAGGTTTTTTTCTTTTGTACTGCAATATGCAGGAATCCAAGCATAACCCACATATTTCCCACTTCGAATAGTAATAACATGTTGTGCCTGGAGCAGTCCCAAAGAAATGAAATGCTTATGTAGTTGAGGGTCCTTGATAGATGAAGAAAGCCTTTACCTTAACAGGCTAATGTCATCACTGTAAGCAGTTTTTCAGTTCTTGGAAACTGTGCATTATTTATGACTGGGAAGCTACCACCTATGTGCTTAGTTCATTTTAAGCACTTTCTAATTCTTTTTGAATATGTTATCCGCTTTCTGCAAAAGGTCACCCTAGAACTGCAGCAGCACAAGACAAAGGTTGCTAACTGAGCAGATTCCTGCATCAGAACATCGCCTCACTCTCCGACCAAAGACTGACTGTTCTGGTTTTACTGAGACATTTTGTGGAAAACCTGTGTTTTCTCTCACGTTCCTTTCTGATGGGAAGACCCAATGCAAAGTGGCCTTTACTTGAGACTGCTACTGGTGGATGAAACACAGTGGAAGATGAGATCGTAATGTGAACCAAATGGTGTGAGATAAGGCGGCAAAAGGTTAATGGACGACTTTTAGTACTGTATTAAAGACACACAAAGCATGGCTAAGAACTGCTGACATTCCCTCATTTTACATAATCTGTTCATAAAAGTTACCTTTCAGTTTATAAAACTGTTTATCTAACACAAGAAAATGCTGTAAATATTTGTAACATCATGTTTTTTTTGTTTTGTTTTTTTTTTTTAAACTTGGCAAAAAGTGTTTTGGGGAACAAATGAAAGTGTAACGTTTTTATATTAAAAAAAATATTGTCTTGTATATTTTAATAAGCAACAGCTTTCATTTGTAAAGCATCTTGTGGCATTGCATAAAAAGGATTCCATGTCTGTTGAGATGACTTAAAACTGAAAAGAAGGTGTAGTATTAAAGAAATGTATTTTCTGACTGTGTAGTGCATGGTTAATTTGATTTTGTTTATGCTGCAATATATTCTGTTTCTTTTAGGTTAGTGTGTTTGCCGATTACTTGGTATCTATACCTAACTCTTTTCCTAACTCTAGTTGTTGTAGCATGCCTTTTAATAAATGTCATTACAGCTGTACTCTCTTACATTTTTCTGTGTTCTTGTCTATTGCTTTGGGGTTTTTCTTGTTTTACAATTGTGCAGCTAATGATGTCTTATTTTCTGTTTTTTTTCTTTAGCATACATGGCTATCTAAGCAAAAGCTTTATATCAAAAGTATTTTAACAGGACTAATGCACACCTTCAACGGTAGTTGAAGTTCAGCAGCACCTGAACTTTCCCCTGAGCAGGGTAGAAATTTTCATTTGCAGTAGGATGGAAATCTATTCTACAACCCTGAGCCAATACAGCAGTTGAGGACTGCTTCATTCTTTGAGGCAGGGATGAAAAGTCTTCAAGTCTGGGGGCCTCATCAGTGAGAATTCTTTTGTTTTCTCTTTTACCGAGCTATACTCTTTTCTAGCCTTAGGATCCAAGTTTGTATTTACATTTTTTTAAATCTTTGTGCAAATGATAGTAGCTGAAAAAGATGGTCTGCTTTCAGCTTCCTGTTTCTCAGCTTCTTTGTTGATTGCTTTTCTTTCATACTCTTCTGCTTGTCCTTCTGTGTGTTATACAACACTAATTTAGATCCTTTTATTCTTGCATCCAAAATTCAGGATTGATGGTAAACAGGCAGTAGTCTAAAGCAATAGATATAAGTATGTGGGTGATGTGGGGACTGCAGTGCCTCTTCCTGACCTCAAATTTCCAGCCAATCTGGCAAGGATTTAATTGTCTGCCACTGAGTCCAAGCCGAGCAGATCTTGAATAATCTGAAGTCTCATACATGTACGTAATGACTGCCTGTGTCTCAAGGCTAGGACTAGAGCACTGAGCAGATCTAGCGTAGACTATGCTGTCACCAATCTCTGAATGTAGATGCTTTTGTAAGGAAAAAAATCTAATTCATTTTAGACTGGATTGCAGCTTTCAGCAAAATGCTTATTCTCTGAAGGCTAGATTTGTAGTCCCCAAGTGTAACTCTGGATTTTGTCCTTGATACTTAAATATTTGATGAGCATTCTGGAGAAAATGCTAGCTGTTGGTGGCCAGAATCTGGCTTCTTTTTTTTGGCCAAGTCTGCCCGAGGAAGTGTGGTAGGAGAGTGGAATTCCTACCTGTCGTCTTCTCCCCTTCCTCCATCTCAAATTCTTGTCTGCTGTTGTTGTACCCTTGTAATATAATCACAAGTAATTATTTTTCCCAAAGTGGTTAATAAGTGTCCATCTTCGGAAACAAAAAATCACTTCTAAATAGCATGGGTATAAAATTTTTGATACCAGAATTTGTTCTGTGACTTGCAAGCTGAAACAGAATCATAGAATCATAGAATCATCAAGGTTGGAAAAGACCCTTAAGATCATCGAGTCCAACCGTTAACCTAGCACTGCCAAATCCACCACTAAACCA